AAGAAGGGGGGTCATTAATGAGGGCCGCCCTCCTGGAGGCCAAAATGGCGCCAACACCGTAGTAAAACCAATGATGTTGGTTTCCTCGCCGAGGCCGCTACCCGCGGACCCTCCCGTCCAGGTCCAGGCGAGGGGGTAGGGGGAGGGCTCAAGCTACCCGCCCGCAAACCATCTCGCTCACTCCCACCCGCCCCCCCCAACACATACGCAGCACCCGAGTCTGGCCCGAACCTCAGCATATTGAGCAGTCGTCTTTGGATGGGCAGCTACTGGGGGCCAATCCGCCGGCGCCGCCACTGGGCAGCTACTGGGGGCCAATCCGCCGCCGCCGCCGCCGCCGCGTCCGCCGCCGCCGCCGCCGCCGCAGCCGCCGCCGCCGCCGCCGCCGCCGCCGCCGCCGCCGCCGCCGCCGCTGCCCGCCGCCACCACCGCCGCCGCCGCCCGCCGCCGCGCCGCCGCCGCCGCCCGCCGCGCCGCCCGTCGCCGCTGCCGCCGCCCGCCGCCGCCGTCGCCGCCCCCGCGGCCAAATCGCCGCCGCCGCCACCGCGCCGCCGCCGCAGCCGCCGCCGTTGCCGCCGCCGTTGCCGCCGCCGCCGCCCCCGCCGCTGCCGCCGCCCCCGCCGCCGTCGCCGCCGCCGCAGCCGCCGCAGCCGTCGCCGCCGCCGCAGCCGCCGCAGCCGCCGCCGCCGCAGCCGCCGCCAAGTGTATTCTGTATTGTTTGGTGACAGGGATTGTGGGGGGAGGCCGCATCGGGTTGGCTGCGCATGCTTCGAATTTGGAGGCAGAGTGTGATTTGAATGGTTTTTTACTCGGGATGGGGGGGCGGCCTCATGGTTCTGGTTTGCTCTCCGCACACAAGCCGTCTAGCTCACTCCCACCCGCCCTCCCACCATAAAAGTGGCATCCGAGTCTCGGCATAGCCAGGGGTCGCTACTGGATGGACAGCCACTGGAAACCAAAGCGGGCGCCAGGTGCGCGACGGTCGCCGCGGGCTCCAGATGCGTTCGGTGTGCCATCCTTGGTTAAAAAAAGTGGTACCCCGGCGTCCGCATGGTCCAGATGCTGATGTGGGGGGCGTCAGCATTGTTCTGGGCCGCGCACAGCAAGCGACAGGGATGGTGTGGGGCGGGGGGCGTCATGGTGTGCGCATGGTTCTGGGTTGGGTGCCGGCCGGGTGGGGGAGGGGATGTTAATTAATAGGAAGCAGTGATCAACCCTTCCCCGAAGGGGAAGAAGGGGCTTGGGAGAGGAAATTCCCTAGACCACCTACGCCCTAAAG